CGAGCTAGTCACCGACCACAAACCGCTTTTAGGGTTACTAGCAGGTGACAAGCAGACCCCTCAAATTCTGTCCCCCAGAATGACCAGATGGACCCTTTTCCTAGCAGCATACTCGTATAGACTTGTGCACCGCCCGGGTAAAACATTGTCCCACGCAGACGCTCTTAGCCGCTGCCCCCTGCCTGACCCAGCTGAAGACCCTGCCCCGGTCAACGCCATTTTTGAAGTCACCCAACTGGACCTACCAATCACTGCCCTTGATATTGCCAATAAATCCAAAACGGACAAAACGATCGCCCAGGTACTGGACTGGGTGAGGAGGGGGTGGCCGGGCAGTGACATTGAAGCTAAATTCACGCCATTTAAGACCCGCTTACAGGAACTGTCGAGCTTACAGGGCTGCCTGCTATGGGGCACTCGAGTGGTCATCCCGACATCTCTGCGTACCCGAGTGCTGGAGGCGTTGCATGAAGGCCACCCTGGCATCGTCAGAATGAAGGCGTTGGCGCGAAGCTACATTTGGTGGCCCGGCCTTGATGAGGACATCAACAAATGGGTAAGCTCCTGCCATCCCTGCCAGGTTTCCCGTCCATCCCCTCCAATTGCCACCCCCACCAAGTGGGAAAGTGCCAACGCACCCTGGTCCAGGATTCACATCGACCTCGCGGGCCCATTGCATGGCAAAATGTTCCTCGTGGTCGTAGACTCTTACTCAAAGTGGATTGATGTGGCACAACTATCCACGACCACTTCACAAGCAGTCATCAAGGCATTGACTCGCCTGTTCGTAACGCACGGTCTACCAGACTCCATTGTTTCCGACAATGGTCCCCAATTCGCGTCAACCGAATTCAGTCGTTTTACGGCCAACCTGGGCATTCGTCACATCTTCACGGCCCCCTTTCATCCTGCCAGTAATGGGCTAGCAGAGAGAGCTGTTAGGACCACTAAAGAAGCCCTGGCCAGGTTCAACAAGGATGACTGGCACCACAAACTATCCTGTTTCCTGTTAAGCCAGCATTCAACCCCTTGCACAGTAACCAACAAGTCCCCGGCCGAGCTTCTGATGGGCAGACGCCTGCGAACTGTATTGGACAGGCTCCACCCACATTACTGCCCTGACTCTCCTCTCGCTTCCACATCGGGGAGTAGGCATTTTGTCTTGCAGGAACCCGTGTTCGCGAGAAACTTCGCTGGCGACCCATTGTGGATCCCAGGAGAAATCGTAGCCATCACAGGACCCAGATCATACCGGGTTAAGCTGGAAGATGGCCGGGTCTGGAGACGACATCTGGACCAGCTTCGGAGATGCCAGGGCACCCTTGTCAGCCGCGACTCGGGGGCACAGACCGGTGAGAGTCCGCTGCAACTTCCACACAGCGACATCGACTCCGATGACCTGCTAACGTCTCCAGCCGGACCAGAGAATCCAAATGATGACTGCGGCGACCTAGCGTCCAACCCATCCGAGCCAGACGGCGTGAGGACACTCCCAGCGTCCAGCCCTACTGACCCCGGACCTACTCCGACCGAGGGTGGTACTCGGGACTCATCATCGAGCCAACAGTCGCCAACGGACTCTGATCCACTGAACAGCACACCAGAGTTGCGCCGCTCTGGGCGTCAGCACAAGCCTCCCGTATACCTCAAGGACTATGCGTGTTCGCATCTGGGGGGAAGGGGTGTTATGTCCCTGGACCTTGAAGAAGTTCCCACCAAGGTCCGTTCGCGCTGTGGGGGCGGCTGCCCCTCCTCATTGGCTGGGTTTCCCCAGCAGCCTGCTATAAAAGCGGGCTGCTGGGTCCAGCCCTTGAGCTGTTCGCTGCGAGCCAGTCCCAGGCTGAGCAAGCACGTTCAGCCCTTGTAAATAAACCTTGTTGCACTAAGCCCTGGTTCAGCCTCTTATTTCCCATACTTAATACCAGCCATCAATTTAACAACCAATTCGGTCGAAGTGGTGCGAACCAATTGAATCCCACCACTGCTTGAAACTTAGCTAATTAAGACCTACATTTTGATCTAATGTGAAAAAAAATAAGACTAAGATAGACCTATATATCAAAAAAGAAAAATGGTGTGATAGAGGGGTGTCAAACTCACATTGTCACAGTGTCATCACATAATATATTGTGACTTTTTTCCCCTTTGCAAAACCGGGGGTGGCCAACGCATGATGCATCCAGCCCACAAGTTTGACAACCCTGGTGTGGTATGTTCCATCTTTCCCAATCTGTTGCCAACAGAGTAGTTTTGATACCCAACAGCTCATAACCCCCAGAGGACTGGACCTATCCTGGGATAGGCATTTTTAGTTTTCCCAGCCATCACAAAATAAAGTGGGATGCTTTTATTTCTTTCCCTAGGTTTTTTGTTTTGTTTTGTTTTTAAATGATTCTTTGTCATAAGGAAATCTATGATATCTTTAGCACCTCCGTGGATAGATTTGAACAGCCAGGCCCTATCCACCCACCAGATGGCCTTCTGCTTCTTTCCCCACACTCACTCTGGGCTATGTAAATGCATCATTTAGAGCAGTGGTTTTCAAAGTTGATAATTTTCAGGTATGTGGCCTTCAACTTCCAGAATTCCCAGCCACACATCTTAAAGTTGCCAAGTTTGAGAAACACTGATTTAGAGTTTTACCACATAAGTGGATAATGGAAATAATCAGTTTGGATTAGGGTGGGATAATCAGCAAATAAACAAGGCCAATATATCTGATTCTGCTGTCAGCCATTTTGGAATTATCAAGGAAGCACAAACCTGGGTAGCATTTGGCCTGGTAGGTTACAATGTGATGAACTGACTTAAGAACCAATGATAGGAGAAATGTTGGGAGGTTTCATTTATCAGAATTCAATGCCTTGATATTCCACTGGAACCTGACATACAATGAATAGTTTGTTAGCATACAGAACACTTGAGAAATATGAATGTCTATTTTCCTTCCTAAAAATAAAACTTGAAAGAAATGGTCCTGGGTATTATCGTCCTGGGTAGTTTATGTGTGGCAATTCAGTTTTTGCAAAATGGTTAAGAACCAAATCATAGAAATCATGCTGAAAGAAAACACACAAATACTTTTTCTTTATATATAAAAGGATAAATAGAGCATTTATTAACACTTTTTTTAGCAGCAACAAAAGTGACACAGTCCACATCTTTTCACAGCAAAAGCTATGGCCACATTTTACATCACCTTGAGGCACAAAGCAAAATATGTAATTGACTTTTCCCCGCCTCCAGATAAAAGTAGGGGTAAGTTTAGTACAAGAAGAGAACGAGGGGAGGGAGTGGGAAGAAGGAAGGACAAAGGAGGAAGAGGAGAAGATCCTTGAGTTGTATATTGCAGTAGCAGGGCCTTAAAATACTAGCACAATACAAGGAGCAGATCAAAAAACCCGAAAAGGCTTTTTAACATACAACACTAATCATTTCATTGGAGCTGGGAAATGGATACCTTCTTATAGCATTAAGTGGTCTAGTAGCAGAATGAAAATTTATCATTGATTAATTTTGTCTGTTTTGCTTTTGTAAAATGTATTAACCCAAACTGTCTCAAGGATCTACTACAAGCTCAGTAGTGACAGTAACAAAGATTAAAAGATCATGCACTTCAAAGTACATGGCACTTATTGCTTGGTACACTAACATTACAATTCTTATTGAAGAACTTTCTAAGAATTACAAGACTTTGATTGGGAGCTCCACATTCCTGGAGCTCATTTACTCGGGCTTCCCTGGTCACTTCAATGGGAATGGCAGGTCCACACGCACACAACAGATGCACATATTCTGACTTGCTCCTCAACTGTAGCAAATGTAAGCCTGCACATGCAAGAAGCTTGGTGGGCCTCCTAGAGATCTTTTCCTGGTTTTGGGTTTCTGGACAAGACACAAAACTGCAATCCATACCCCACTGAAGCCAGTGCCCAATCTCCGATGGATTTTGAAAAATTAGAATTGCACTGTAAAAGTTACCCTTTTCTTCAACCCAGCCCCCGTGGCTTGCCACTTTGGGCTCACTATGGAAATGGCTGCTCCTACTCTGTGGTCCATTATAGTTCTATTGATTTGCAAGACAAATACATTTTATTTTAAAATTCAGAAATCTTTAAAATAGCACTATTTTCTATAATTATACAACATCTTCAATAAACTATGACTTTATTTATAGAATTGTGGCACAACCTTCTGAAAATATGAAAAACTATCCAGAATTAAACAAATAATTATTTTCTTTTCCCTTTCTTGCATTTACTTTAAAAGGCTTTCAAAGAAATACTTGTTTGTTTTAGGGCTATGTGTCTGCAGTATATTTTTCTTTGGATTTATCTGGGTGAACATAAGACTTATGGCCAGTAATTTATACAAACAATAACTATAAGAAATAAAACAGCCTGATAGTATATAATCATAATAAATAAACATTTTATTTCTAGACTGCTCTGTAAAGTCCCAATTTAACTCTCTTTAAAGGACTTGAACTGGGGCTAAAATAGAAGTCTTACTCGATAAGAAATCCTTGATTTTGACCAACCATACATTTCTTACATTGTACCAAGTAAACCTCCACACAATCAATGTTTTATTCTCTTTCAATACAATATGTAAGTGCATTTTTAAATGATCAAGAAGTTTTGGCTTTCTAAACTGAACATTTGATGTCCCAACTTGGATGGTAGTTGTGCTTTTCCTTAGTTTTGAGTCTTCCACTCATTTTATACTGCAAAGACTTAGTTTCCTGTGTAGTTTTGACCAGATAACCCTTAAAACTCTATAGAATGGAGACACCCAAATGGAAGTGATGAAATGTCACAAACTCATACAGATTGCACTTGAATGGTAGTATTTCTTGATTTTTTATAGTAAGACCTTCTTGTCTGATATGTGCTTACATGTTTATGTCACATTTGTGTCCGTGGGTGTGGTGCACGCGTGCGTAAACAATCACAATGAATAAATCACAAACACTACAAAATATACCCAACATAGGCCTGTTATGAATAATCCTCTCCTTCCTTGTAACTATATGAGTCTTGTGCTTCTTCTTGTACAAATTCTTCTCTCTTCTCCCAGCCATCTGGCCAGCCACCATTAATCTGGGTCGTAGCACCATAAGATTTAGTGGTACCATAATTTACATAATTCTGAGTAATGTCCCCTGTTTCTTCATCAAGTTCATCTTCGTGAATGAAGCCACATTTTTCTTCACTTGTCTGTTCAGGGTCTGCCCATGGTTGCTTTTCTCCTGAAGCAAATATCCCATAGAATATGACTCCACCATAATGGACCAAGGCAGCAATAAGAAAGACATACTGCCATTCTTCACGTGTCTAGGACAAAAAAGATGGGGCCATCAGAATAGCATAGGAAGTTCAGGTTGCACTATCAAAATAGCTGTGAGGGATTCTTTTGGCTTATAATGGTTTTTATAGGAAGTATGGAACTGTACTTAATTATTGTACAAAGGAAGAAGAAAATGCACTTTAAAAAGTATGGGGTAACAGCAACAACTAGCTTGAAAATCTTGAAAAATCTTAAGAGAAAATAAGGATAAAATTGTAGCTATATTTTAAAACAGAATACCCAAGCAATGTTATCCTTATTTCTCATCTTATTCACAGGATGGACTTTAATTAATATCATAAGGTGAAAAAGCTAGTAAGAATTTGCTTTTATTGTGGAATATAACATATGAACTTACATCATTTATACTTGTGACATGTGATAATGAATTTGATCATATTGCACATGAATACTATTTTTTTCAAGGCTAATAATAACCAAAACTAATTTTTGAAACTGTAATGTAGCAAAACTTACTTTGTTTTTTGTCATTGCTCCAACAATTATAGGGCATACCATCCCAGACAATGTTCCAACTCCATTTGAAATCCCCATCAAGATACTGGCATACCTTGGAGCAATATCTAAATGATTGACATTGAATCCTGTAATATAAAATCATTCTTGTCAACAGAGTGATAGAAAAATAATACATTGCTAAATATTTGTTTTACTTAACATGGTTAGAACATTATTCATAGTAAACCTTGAGGTAATATTACATTCATTTAGATCCATATTCTTATATTCTTTCCAACTCAGTGAAATGTTGGAAATAAATTATAAGCATGAGCTCAGGATCTGTCTCTTTATCAGTAAGATAATGCTGCAAAAATGGAAAGAACAGGACCAAAGCTGGCATAGTAGGAGAAGCTGTAAAAAGAAAGATAGCGATGGATCTGGCAGGCAATGCAGAAAGCATCTCAGATACATGTGAATGAGAGACATAGTAAGATCGTGGCTAGAAATGCCTTTCCTCCATAAGATCAATTATAAAGCCATTCCTTTATTACATCCAGAGCGGGGTATACACAGCTCACCCTATGCTTCCTGATACAGAATGCAATATGAGGGTAAAACAGAAATATACACAATACAATGTGTTATTCATAAAGAAATGAAATAAAAAATACAGATTACTTCCATGGTTAATATCCAGAGTATTCCATAAGTTTTCCCTAATTTGTCCTTTCTTTGTGTGTGTGTGTGTGTGTATGTGTGTGTGTGTGTGTGTGTATGTGTGTGTGTGTGAGCACAATTACTTTCTGCAGTTGAACTAATTGTTTCATATGATGGAAGAAATTGGCCAAAGATTGATATGATGGAAGAAATTGGCCAAAGAAAATTTTGTCTGAAAGATAGTCCAGGGACAATAGAGGGATTGTGGCTTGAGAATTTGGTGACTGCTTTATTCAATGCCCACTTTATTCCTTCTAGTCAGCCACATGCACCAGAATGAAGTATGTACAGCCCAGCACATGCTTTCTGGCAGACATAAGCAGTAAGAGACACATGATGCATACCATATCCAGTTACAACGTTATCTTATCCGGTTACATGTTTTCCTCATGCAGAGGAAAATACAGGGTTGTTTTCTATAATATTTTCTATATATATATACAGGGTAATCTATGGTGATTGCTAGTAAAAGGGTTGGAAGAATTCCACAAGTTGGGCTCTGTATATATTTTTCACTTTATTTTGTATATTATATTACACTGATAAAAAAAATAACTTACCGGATATAGCAAATCCACTGAACCCCACAGCAAGAACAAGGAAGGAAATGGCCACACCTCTACTATGAGAATATCCAACTACCAAGAGAAGGGTTGCTTCCATTCCAAAGCCTTGCGAAAAAATAATAATAACAAAAAGAAATCTTGATTGTTCTTTCAGAGCATTTAGTACAGCTAAGTAGCAGTACCTAGCCAGTCTTAGCTTATTTCGGAAAACTAAGCAGAGTAAATTTGGTTAGCACATAGAGGAGAAACTTCAGTAAATAACAGAGTTGTAGAATAGATTGGAAAGTCAAAAGGTGTTGGAAGAAGACCATGATAAACTACTTTTATATTGCTGCCAGGAAAAGTATATATACAATATATACAACCACTAAAATGAACTTAAAACAGAGAAAATAAAATTCATAGCAGACAAGAAATCATAAAAACCCTACATCTTCATCAAAACTGCCAGGGTAAGCTATCATATATAAACAGGCAGTAAACTCCACCCTTATTCACACTGATTATGTTATCTAGCTGAATAAATGAATGAAATGTCTGCAAGCAATTAGCCAAGCTCAAAGAATCCCAAAGATTCCCACCATTCAGTCCATGAGCTACATATATTCTCTTCTCTCACTTGGTGAACCTCCATCTGTCAGATACTTTACTGAATACTACTACACTGAGTTGGGTTGGATTAAATTATCTTTATGATGTCTTCTAATTCTTTGATTCTGTGTCCATGGATTCACCACAAGTGGAGCTTAACTGGAAAGGAATTTTGTTTACCTTAATCTAACTCTAACCCATAACTCTTTCTCCAGGATATTAATGAACAACAGTGGTGACTGACTACCATAGTCCAAGTATTAATTTTTGAATTAAAAGAATTAAAGAATTTTTGAAACTGCTTTTCTTGTTGAATCGCTAGATCATATCCAATTCTTTTCAAGCCCATGGACCATAGCATGCCCACTTCTCTCCTCCCACTCATCCTCCACTGTCTCCCAGAGTTTACCCAAATTTATGTTCAGTGTTTGGTTATTTCAGTTATGCTAGTACTTCTATTTTACAACAGTTAGAAGCAAATCAATTTTGTACTCTATCAAAAACTAAGCAGAGTAAATTTCAGCCTATCAGCCTTTTTCACAGGTGTCAAGCTCACTGCATCACATTGCTGTCACATGACATATCATGAGGTTTTTTTTTCCTTTGCAAAGCTGGGGTGGGCATGGCCTGCATGAGACACATCCAGTCCATGGGCTGCCCTGGCTTATGTGAACCTGTGGCAAATTTGATATTTTATACAGTGCAGTACTTGTAGGACATTCTAACAAGGCTTTTTAATAACAAGTAAACTTACCTCCACAGTTCATTATCTTCCTGACAGTTGTGGTTGAAAGAATTTGTTTGCTTCTTAGAAAGTCTGCAATTTGTCCCCCAATAGGCACAATAATGGTCATCACTAAATGTGGCAGTGCAGACAGCATTCCCACCTAAAATCATAAAATTTAATAAATGAGGTCTAATAGAATAAATTGATTGTTGCGGGGAGGGGGGGAATTAGCAGATGAATAAGCTCGCAATAGTTCATTTAGTGACTGTTCAAAGTTACAACAGCTCTGAAAAATGTGATTTATGACTGTTTTTCACACATATGACAATTGCAGCCAGATTTATTTAACAAATGTGTTACTAACTTAACAATTGCATGATTCACTTATCAACTGTGTCAAGAAAGGTTGTAAAATGGGACAAAAACTCTTTTAACAATTGTCTCACTTAACAACAGAAATGGACTCAGTTGTGGTTGTATGTTGAAGACTACCTACTCTATACTGCTAATGTTCAAATATCTTGGATTATATAGATCATAATTTCCAGTCTGTATGGATCCTGGCACCAGTTTGAGGAAGGTTGGCTTTATAAACTTAAAGAAACTTTTAAAGATACATTATCTTGATCACTTCTAATAAAATAAATGTCACCAGTATGGATATAAATTAGACTTTTTTCTTCTAGTGGGTGTATCTGTGACAGTACAAAATAATATTTATAGCAACTTTCCCAGCTACACATATTTTCTTAACAATAAATAAACAGCACATAATAGTGTCCTAGACCAAATATAAATTAGAACCCTTTCAGAATATCTGAAGTCGGCATTTCAATGTTGATAAGATTGCAAATTATTATTTAGGTCTTATCTCCCTGATGATCAATTTAGCAAAATATTTAATATGTACCTCTATCATTGCTATTCCCAGTATGTCCAAAAGATGAATTTGGTGCTGATGGAACTAAAAAAGGATTCATGATAGTAGGCAAGAAACTGAAGAAAAATATTTATGCAAAGAAATTGGAGCTGCCTCTGTTCTGTGTCTTAGCAGACTTTAAGACTACAATAGCAGCATTCTAAATAGCATTAGGCACCTGGATTTAGAGAGTTGACAGTTGAGAAATGATGAGGGAAATTAAATATTCTGCAAAGATTGAAAATGGAGGTAGGAGGAGCTTCCAATTGGCATCATGCAATTGACAAAAGATCTCAGGTGATTATTTAAGGATAGGGTTAAAAGAGCTAAAGTTCAGGGGGAGAGCAATAGTCCTTGGACTTCTATTCTGATCCATAGTGCTTTACAGCCCTCTCTAAGCAAAGTCAGCAAATTGCACACAACAATATGGGTCCTCATTTTACAAACCATGGAAGGATGGAAGGATGAGTCAACCTTGAACTGGTCAGAATCGAACTGCTGGCAGTTGGCAGAATTAGCCTGCAATACTGCATTCTAACCACTGCACCACCACAACTCAGGGAATCAATCAATGCAGGGGTGTCAAACTCAAGGCCCACGGGTGAGATACGGCCCATGGCGTTCTTAGATCTGGCCCAAGGGGCCATGCTGAAAACAGCAAAGGACCAGCCCACAGTGCCTCTGCCATCAAAAATGGAGCTCAAGAGGACTGTGGATGGCCCTCCTGGGCTTTATTTTAGGCCATGAAAGCCTCCTATAGCCCTCTGCCAGTAAAACAGAGCTCAGGGGCTGTGTGTGGCCCTTGGGGCTCCATTTTCACTAGCAGAGGGCTGCAGGAGGCCATTGTGGCAGAAAACGGGGCCTAGAGTGGCCATGTGGCTCCCTTTTTTATGGAAGAGGGCTAGAAAAACAAACTAAAACTAAACAAAAGGAAAATGTTTCTCCATTTGAACATCCAAGAAGGGATAGGAAAGGAGAATGGGAAAGAGGAAAGAGGAAAGAAAAAGATGGGAAGATGGGAAAAGAGCAAGAAAGGAAAAAGAAGAAAAGAGAGGAAGGGAGAAGAAAGGAGAAGAAAGAGAGAAGGAAAAGGAAGAAAAGAAAGTTACAAAGTTCTCAATTTCTGTTTTAATCACTGTGATTGGATAATGCATGTTCATACCTATTCATTGTGCTACTCTCTGAGGAAAGCAAAATACACACACACACACACACACACACACACACACACACAGCACTACGCTATAGTTACCCACTTTTTTATTTTCTAAGATTTTCTCCGGCACCTATGAGAATCAGAAACTCTGCTGAAAATACAGATTATGCTGAAGGATAATACTTTGCTTCACAGAAAGCTATCTTCTTGCATGTTTATTTTTATTTACAATAATCTTTTTTTAAATGATGGAATAAGAAGTCTGGTGATATTAAGGAAGATCCATATATTTTACGTTGAGGCCCAAGAACCTTTACATTATGCCAGTTCAAGTTTCTTTTAAAATAACATAAATTACCTTACTTATTTCAAATCCAAACACCTCTTCAAAGTAAGCAGGTTGACTAATTAGGAGCAGATAAAAAGTCCAACTTCTACAGAAATTTGCAACTATGATTGCATAGACAGGCATAGAAGTAAAAAATTTTCTCCATGGAGTCTTGAATTTCTGTAAATGAAGACAGCAGCTGGTTATTTTTTGGACATATTAGAGCAGGGATGTCAAACTGAAGGCCCACAGGCCAGATCTGGCCCATGGGGTACTTAAATCTGGCCACTGGGGCTAGCCTGGAGCTGTCAAAGGACTGGCCTGCAGTGCCTCTGGCAGCTAAAATGGGCTGTGTGCAACCCCCCCATTCTGCACCTCATTTTCCCCCTCCATGCCCTCGTGCAGCACTCTGCTGCTCAAAAATGGGCCAGAAACGGGCTGAAAATGGGCCAAAACCAGCCAGAAAACAGGCCAAAAATGGGCTGAATATGGGGCAGCAGAGTCTGCAGGCAGCCATGGAAAGTGAAAACAAGATGCAAGGGGGGTGGGTGGACCCCCGCACCCTATTTTGGCCAGCAGGGTGCTGCAGAAGGCATCTGTCCCGCCCCCTGCCCCTCACCATCCCTCCCCCCATTGGCCCATGGAGAACTACAATGCTGATCCAGCCCTCGAAGAAATCCAATTTGACAACCCTGTATTAGAGAATTCAAGTAATTCAAATTATTCTGCATTATTATTCTGCACACTTCCATATTTGTGCTTTCTCACTTGAATGTGTAAAAAACAAACCGAAACTGTAAATTTGGAGAGACCACAGCTTACAGCACCATGAAGTACAAGTAATATGATAAAAACTTGAAAAATTATGTCCCAATTACCTCCCATTCTTTTTAAAACTAGATTTTGTAGTTTATTGACCCTATTTTTGTCATTCATCAGTGCAATCACATATATGTACACAGCACAAACAATCTGCCATGTTATTGTTAATATAATTTTTATTTTTATTTATTTATTAAATATGTGAATGGAAACAATGAAAAACAAAAGAAAATCAGGGGAAGAAATAGAATATTTCTATTGCCTTATTTGGTCTTTGGACATAATAAAGATTTGATTTGATTTGATCTGATATATATAATCACATATATAGTAGCAGAATCCCTAACTTGTCTATGTTATTATTTAACTTTTAACATTATTCTTGGTGTTATGTGATCTTTACCCTGAAGTGAGTGAGGACTGGAGTGAAAATCCAAAAGATGAGATTTAATATAGCAACTGAATTAAAAAAAAACCTATAACAAGATTAAGCGCTACATAGCTCAGTTAAAGCCATCTTCATTTTTAATAGTCTCTGACTTATCTGGCAGCTTTTTCTTGAGGTCTGTAAAGAAACAAACACAGTAGGTAAAATCCTTACTTCCATTGCTCCTAGAAGATTAGCACTCTCTCCAATACTTTCTTCTATGTATCTGCGCTCCTCATCTGTAATTGTAGGATGAGTTGCAGGGCTCTCATATGACACCAAAAGCCAAAACATATACCAGACAATGCCAAAACTTCCTGTTGGATATAATAAGATGACAAATTGAAATGGAACTGAAATGGAACCTCCTACACATGAAGCAAACATTGTTTTTTTAAAAAATCACCTGCTTGAAATGTCACCTTGGTTTTATCTAAACAGACCCTCTCTAAATTATATCTCTAAGTTTATGAATATATTTTAATTCTATTTCAAATAGTATTTACCCCCCAAGGGACTAACCCTAAGAAAGTATGCTATTCCCAATGATTCTACTACTCTGCTAGAATCATGTATGGGGTACAGTTGCAAAGTCTGATGTAGCCCTATAAAAGCAGAGATGTAAATCCTTCCTGATCACAGCTTTTTAAACAATAAATAAATAAAATAACCCTCTTCTTCTGTTAAGTTAAGCAAATGTGTCATATGTTCATTTCCTCACTATCACTTCCCAACATAAGTTCAATAGTTTTAGGCCTTTTCAGAAGATTCCATGAAATCTTCTGAAGCCCAGCTGAAAGAAAAAAAAAACCACCTTAAAAAGCTGAATAAAAATCCCTATCCAATTTGATGGATTCCTTGCACAAAATGAAAGGGAATACATAAAATAAAGGACAACGGGGTAAGTGCTGTCTTTCAGGTCTTATCTGTTTTGTCCTGACTCTTGAATCTTATAGTGAAGATGGAGAAGAATAAGAACTGTGGCCAAACCATGGGAGAAAAGGCAAAGAGCAGGTAAAAATAAATCTGATCCTTGGCATATCATCCACATATGGAGGGAATTAGTTTGGAGGAATTTTTTTTTCATCTCTAGTTTCATTCTTCAAATCCACATTTCATATCATTGCCCCTCTTAAAACAATATTAATTTTAAAATGGTCAAAATTTTGCAAAACCGAACATCTCTGAAAACACTTGGAAAATTACTGGACTCTCAAGAGAACTTAGGAAATATTGCATGAAAGACATTTGGGAGGGAATGTTCAAATTATTGTAAAACATTCTTATGACTTCTAAAATGGATCATTCTTCATCTGGATTTATCTCAAATTTGTAATAATTAACCCTAACCCTAATCCTAGATGAAATGTTCCACCTACCAATTTTTTTTCCTAAATGCAATTGCTATCACAATTTTTAAAAACCCACTTGACAGAAAACAGAAAAAGGACATTACAGAAAGGTCCTTTGTGCTCCCCTACAGTTTGTTACTGAGAATTTTCTCTGCCTTTTACAATAATTAACTTCATTTCCATAAAAATTATTCTAAACGAAGATCAGATTCGTGGATGGCAATTCAAGCTGCCCTGAATTAAGTGCAACATGATTGAGTCACTGTCCTCATTTAGATCAAATTTGACATTCTGAATAATTCCACTGTTTGGGGAATTGTATTTCTAGGCAATCTAATTTGTCCATTTTGAATGTTCTTTCAGTCTAAATTCTCCCAGAGCTTTTCTAATATATTTATATATAGTATTAGAACACAGCCATTTTCTGAGTCATAATCTGGGATCCCAAAACTGCTTTCAGCTGTCAAGCCTATCCTCCCCCAGTTTGTTCCAGGAAAAAATCAGAAGAACATTGAGGATGATGGACCCATAAGTAAGGGGTTGCCAAAAATCACCTTTCCTTGTTTCCCTGAATTTCAGAATATTGTTGGGTAGAGTGACATTGTTGGATAAGATCCTGAATGGATGCTTTATCCTTCCTCTAAGACAGTTGGATTATATTTATGATTTTTAACTTCCCTACATTTATTTTCAAAAGCAAGATGGGAAGAGAAGATCATACCATACACATAGAACACAGAAGACCATCCTGTATATTGGACTAAAATCCCAGCCAATGGCATTGCAATGACTGCACCTGCATAGGATCCTAGAGAATAATAAAAACCATGAGTAAATTATAAACATCTATTGAAATGGCATCAAGTCTGAAATTTAATTTCCATCGGAATCTTGGATATCTTCAGTGGGCAGTGGCATCTCATATCTCATGATATCATTATGCAAAACCATGAATTATGTGATGTCATTGTGACTCCTATTGGGTGCCTTTGAAAAACATTTTTTTTCTAGTTTCTAAGAAAACTGTTCACTAATATCTTCTGGTTAAAATAACCACATGAATTATTTAGGTCATTCTTTCCTAATCAGTTTCCTTTCAAGAGTAAAAGAAGTTGAAAATAGATGAAATAACCTCTACAAATAATCTCACAATCTTATTGTAATGTTACCAGATAATTAATTCATATAACCATCCTATAAATCCAGAAAAAAATGTAACCCAATAAACAGTAGCCATGAATACTTAACAAATTCTTTTGGGGTCCACGTCTTTATTTGTTGAGTTGGAAACTGATGTAGTATTTTAATTATTATTGTTGTTGTTAATCAACCTCAATCCCATCTACTGAATGGAAGTGTCTTCATTAAAACTTACAGACCATAAAATATCATGGTTACCCAGTGCAAATTGATAGATAAATATTTTTTTTCCATTTAGGGCTTAGACTGACGGCCTCAAAGCACTCAGTTGTTTCTGTGACTAAAGGAAGAATATAACCTGCATCTTTCTGCATCTAAGCTACATACCACACCATCTTCAATGTGTTAATATTGTTGTCTATATGCTACACTTAGATCCTTTAATTTAATCTCACAGCTACAATGGTTTAACTTAATGTCATTTCCAGATCTGTAAATTAATGCTCACAAACTGGGAAAACACATTATTCTTCCACAATTCAGACCGATAAATCCAAACGTCCTCACCTAAGTAAGATGTCTAACATTCAAGAATAAGTTTTCAAGTTCTTAACTTTTGTTCACACAACCAGAATGAGTCTACTCTAAACTGTCCTCTGTGGAAACAAAACTTCCTCCACTCACTATGACTGAATATTGATGATGAGCCACAGAAAGGTTATTTCAGTATATGTTAGAAAAAAGAGAATACAAAACAAGCGAAATAATGGAGATGTCACTTACCACAGAAAGATGTAGTGGCTAGTCTACTTCTCTCTAAAGGAGGAGCCCACTTGCTCCATATTCCATGGCAAGCTGGATAAGTTACACCCTGTGAAACAGGTTATTTAGTTTACAGATGCTACAACTGACATACAAATAAAAGGGTAAAACAAAAGGAGGAAATGTATGTATGTATGTATGTATGTATGTATTTATTTATTTATTTATTTATTTATTTAACTACTAGGCCACCCATCTCACCAAGTGGCTTACAATCTTTCAATAAAAATATAATATAAAACATTAAAATAATAAAGACCATAAATGCAGTTAATATTCAATTGACCAACATGAAGAGAAAGGGAGCAAAGTGTGGATGAGGAGCAGGTGTGGTCTGTCTAATCTATTAACCATCCCCAAAATATACCTCCATCCCCATTGGAGCCCCAGGCTAGTTGGCAGAGTGAGATCTTCAAGCCCTGTCTATAAGGCCCAAAGGGTAAGTGCAGAAATGATAAGGCATAAAATCTGATAGTAGTTGTAGGTAGATCATACACTGAAAAAGATGGAAGATTGAGGAATGTTGATTATGTGTGACATATGATATCCTGGAAATGTATAAATCCTTTTACAGTGATCTTCTGGAACTTGAGTCAATGTTCTTTGGGAGTTTTTTTCTCTTCTGATTCATTAATTTTATGCATTCCCCTGGCAATTCTTATAATAACATTTTTAACTTTAATCACTGTTTTTTATCTTCTTCACTTGGATAATGACAGTCAATCAAAAACAATGTACAAAATTAGATTATTAATCTTTTATTTATCTTTTCACACTGGCAAGAAGGGAGATGAGAGCAAAAACAGGAAGAGAGCAGACAGCAATGGTAGCTAGGGGAACCAATAAGGCCTCTGACACCTCCATTTCCTGTGCAGAGGGCTGCTACATCTTTTTTGCAGAGAGAAGTAATCAGAAACAAGAGTTCACCTTGCTTCTGTACAGCTCTTCTTGAGGCCCCATGCCCTGGCTACCAAATCCAGATGTCCACTAGACATGGCACCAAAGAGCTACAGAAAATTCCAACTCCTTGTTGCTATCTAGTGGTCATACAGATTTGTGCAGTCCAGATAAAGCTGCCTCACTCTATGGGCCCACAGAATGAAAGAGTAGGAATGGACCTTAAAAGTCATATAATCCAGTCTGAATATCACATTGGCTTCTTAACTGCCCGTTCCTAGTTCATGGGTACCTTTTTGTTGCTATTTGCTGTGTTTTCTTGTAATCATTTACTTTTTACTTTTTCTCCTGCCTCCAGATTTTAAACAAACAAAAAGTCTTAAAAAGAGAGTCCATATTTGCACATCCCATTTATGCATCAAATACCTGACTATGCCAGGTAAATGCTTTCTATAGATTTTGGGATATTTTAACTTTGGAAAAACATGTTTGGGGTTATTTTTCAATGTGAGTAAGGCTATAAAGCAGAGAGAAGAGACACACCTAAAGTAAGAGAGGCTGTGGCCAAAGTAAATTGGCTTGTGCATGTTCAGTAGCTCATCACATCCCACAGAAGCAGCACTCCCCCAAATGCCACTGTTTTGGACACTTAATTTGAAGCTGCCCCTTTAAGATACTTGAAGATTCCAAGCTGAATAGGAAAGGCAGACAGAAGATAAAAGATAAAGATAGTGCTGAGTTGGAGGCAATCTGGGACCAGTTGCCCAGGGCAACGGGACTCCTGAAGTGTCTATAGGCATGGTTTCATTCATTCTTTTTATGCCATTGATAACCTGTCCCCGCACTTCAACAGGCAAGATGTTGGAACAAAGTATCACACTGAGGGACATAATAAAGAAAACCTGACTGGCAAAACAAGATGTCCATAGAAGAGTTTGCACTTCAGTTCCATACCTCAACCAAACCTTGCAGGATTCTAACAAAGATGACACATCCAAAATGCACCCGAGCAGCAGATGGTATTAGCATGTTGAGGGTAGATGTCAGTAGTATCGCTGCACCAAAGACCCTGAAAGAAATTAATGGAATTACTGAGAACTATGCATTAACATTAGTAATCATGTTTACCTTGTGTATAGATCTAACACAGGTAGTCCTTGTCTTATGACCACAATTGACCCTAATATTTCTGTTGCAAGAGGAGAGAGTTGTTAAGTGAAGCAACTATTAAATATTTGAAAATATTAAAATATTTAAGCAAACTCCATTTTATGACTTTCCTTGCCACTGTTGTTAAATGAATCTGACTTCCCCATTTGTTTGTCAGAAGGTGATCACTTGACTCCAGGACACTGCATCCATCATAAATATGAGTAAATTGTCAAACATCTGAACTTTGATCACATGACTGTGAGGATGCTGCATCTGTCTTAAGTGTGAAAAATGGTCATAAGTAACGTTTTTCAGTACTATTATAAATTTGAATGTTGGAAGTCAAGGACTACCTCTACTTGATTCATGTTTGTGTTCTCCGTAAGACATAGATGTTGGAACTGATCCAGGTTCAGTTCCAAACTTATCTCTAGAAATTGGGTGCGTTTCTCAGCCTAATTTACTTCACAGCTTATTTGTGGATAAAATTAAAAATATGTTTTCCTGTGCACCAGGTGAAAAAAAAAGAATTTAAATTGGAAAAAAAAATACAATGCCCAAATTCAATTTCAAGCTGAAACTAATCATTTCTTAAATAGATACAGAATAATTTGATTTTAAATATTTAATATTGTCTGATGATCCCAGTTCCATCTTTATAGGAAACAAGTATCTTCATAATTTAAAAAAGCCCCTGCAATAAGATTTTGAGTGGTAAAATCAATTACAGTACTAATGATTAGTTGGATTTTCTCTCAGTGAGAACATATAGATGACTTACAATAACTTTGTAATATTTTCTAGATTTACAATATATTCATATATACAACTGCTACAAAAGGCCCATTATATTCAATTGGATTTCCTGTCCAGTCCAAAGCTATCGGAGGTGGTATTCAGCAAGTTCTGACCAATTCTAGAGAACCGGTAGCAGAAATTTTGAGTAGTTCAGAGAACTGGCGAATACCACCTCTGACTGGCCCCACCCCCATCTATTCTCTGCCTCCCAAGTCCCAGCTGATTGGTTGGGTCTTCTTTTGTTGCTCTGCACAAGAGAATGGAACTAGAAAGCAGGTTAATGGGGTGGGGAAGGAATGGGATTTTGCAGTAACCTTCCCCTGGAGTGGGGTGGGAAAGGAGATTTTACAGTATCCTTCCCCTGCCACGCCCACCAAGCCAAGCCAAGCCACACCCACCAAGCCATGCCCACAGAACCAGTAGTAAAAATATTTTGCCCTGCTCGAGTTGTGTAGTCCATATGTTTTTGCAGTGCAAGAGTTGCAGATTACAGGATAGTTTTTTCCTGAAACCAAATTGTTTATTGCAGAGTAGGTTGTTTGTCTCTAAATGGAGGATAATGGATTGGTTAATAATTGATTCCATGACTTTACAGGTGACGCAGCATAAGGAGATTGGTCTGTAATTTTTAACTAAGCTGGAGTCTCCCTTTTTGAAGATGGGGATGACCGTGGCTTGTGACCATAGGTTAGGCAAGGAGCTGGTCCTGAAAGATTTTTCAAAGATTATGCTTAGAGGTTCGGCTATGGCAGTGGATAGCTTTTTTAAGAAGTAGGCACATATTCCATCCAGTCCAATAGATAGAGATGGTTTTAGATTCCGTAGTGCTTTTTCAACATTGTCTACTGTAAAATCGATATGCATTAGATCATTGTAGTTGTCTATGGTTCAACTAGGAAATACTGGGCATGATCCATTGCTGTTTACAAATACTGAGCCAAAGAATGTGTTAAAGAGGTTGGCTTTAATAGTGTCGTCCTTTCAGGGGTGGGATGGACCATGAGTCTTTTAGTTTGTTGTTTACAAAATTGTAGAAAGTGAGGGTGGTATTGGTGCGTAGAAGGTTTTCCTCTTGTTTCATGTGATAATTGGTGCATTCAGTCTTTATCTGGTGGCATAATTTTTTGTATCAGCTTTTGAAGTTGGCAACATGACCAGATTTGTTTTTCCACCAAAGTGATCTCTTTTTGGATTGAAGCTTTCTTATTGTTATGGGTAATCTGTTTTTTTCTGATTTTTGGAGTTGTTTTTGGTACATATAGTTTGATGACTCTTTTGACTTCAAGTAAAAATATATTGTAATGGTCTTCAACAGTATTGCATCCAGTGAATAGAAATTGCCAATCAAGGGATGAGAGGTTGTTGTCTATAAGATCATAGTTGCCTTTTCTGAAGTTATAATTGGGGATCACATCATTGTATTGATTTTTGTGTGGATGTATGTTGAGAGAAAAGTCAATCATGTTGTGGTCACTGTTGGAAAAGGGTTCTTTAATTTGTATTCCATAAATTGAATTCAAACTATTGCAGAAGATGAGATCAAGGCAGTTTTTAAGTCTAGTATTGTTGGTCACTAGTTGTTCCTGTCCCAGGTTTGTTACAGCATAGTAGAAGGTTGCATGTATGGGTTCAGTTTTACATTCATTTAGGGTCCAGTTAATGTGTGGTAGTTTGAAGTCACCAAGAAAGATAAAATGTGTGGGCAGGATGTTGCCCAAGTTAGTAGTGAATTTAGCTTGTTTACATGTTCGATGTTATAATCAGGTGTTCTGTAACATAGTAAGAATTGAAATGTGATATTTAAGGATAGTTCACAGATCGTGGTCTCAGGAAGAACAAGCTCCTGGGTAACTTGGATGTATTTTAGATGTAAGGACTTTTTATAGAAGATAACAACACCACCTCCTCTATGGATTTCATGATCTGATCGGCAAACATGATAGTCTCTTACTGTGGTAATGGAGTCAGGGAGAGATTCATTAAGCCATGTTTCACAGACAAATATGATGTCGAATTTAGCCATATTTAGTAAGAGGAGAAATTCAGGTATTTTATTCACAAGGCTTCTTGCATTGAGTAGTTGGAATTGAAGTAGTTAGAGACATGCGTGCCTAGTTTTGACTGATGGTGGGTTGGATGAGGTAGGGTTGGATGTGGAGTTGTGGGTTGTGTGACTTACTTTTGATACAATCAGCGCAGTAGGCAATGTAGAGATCCTTCTCTTCATTGTCTAGACGTGTTTTGTGTTCCTTGCGGAGTTCACAGGAGTGGATTCTTTGCAGTATGGATAAGTCAGGTCTTGAGCAAAGCTTTTTGTGGTTGGGATTGGTTTTTGCAAAGGCGTTTATTGTATGAATGAATATGCGTTTGCTAGACTCATTTTTGTAAACAACTCTACAAAAATTTGGGGCCACTGAGCCATCATTGTATTTGGACTCAGGGCCATCTCTGGTAACTTCAACGATATCTTCAGGAGAGATGTTTGTTGTATTTGAGTTGCTTATGATATTACGAACTTTGGTGATGTTATCTGATTTGTTGATGTCTTCAAGACCAAATAAGATGGCATTTGGACATTTCTGATCATGTTCAATTACTAATCTACTAATCATTACCTTGATCAAATATCCTGAAGTATTTTCATATCATCAGTTATAGAAAGGATGATAATTCATAATAATATTTTGGGAGCATGTGTTTAATCACTCATCATATAATTGTTCATTTGAGATTTATAGTTGAACGTATCAAATTAAGATACATTGTGTATGTGTGTTTGAATATTTGTTTTCTGAGGTTCTCGCGGGTATTTATATGTGGATCTTTGGTTGTTCGGGTTTTCTCCCGCGTAAGATTCGAAGTATCTAGGCAACGTTTCGATGAAGTCTCATTCATCATCTTCAGGCTTCTGTCTCCGGCTCTGTGCTTTTCAGAGTAATGTGAGATTGCAGCTGCTTCCTCCTTTTAACTGCCAGTGGGGGTGGGACTTGATTGGGTGGGGGCTTGGCTGTGTTCTGATTGGGTGGGGGTGTGTTCTCATTGGTAGGGGGTTTGGTTGTGTTCTGATTGGTTGGGGGGTTAGCCGTGTTCTGATTGGTTGGAGGCGTGTTCTGTTCAGGTGGGGGCTTGGCTGTGCTCCGGTTAGTCTTAGTTGCTGGGGGATTTGAGCTGGTGAGTTGTGATCTTGCTGTTTGGCTTCTAGTTCGTGGTCCTGTTGCATCTTCATAGTGGGTGTCGGTTTGCTTCATGTATGGCTCGGAGGGGTTTGAAGTGGGTAGTGATGCAGCTGTAGTGCAGCTTCTGGTCCATGGTCGTGTCTCATCTTCTGAGTGGGTGAGAGTCTGTTTTCTACATGGAAGTGTGGTGGTGGCATCTTGTGTGGCTCTCATGGGTGTGGGTCTGGTGTCCTTCTTCATGTTAGGTACTCGTCTGTTCATGAGGGCGGGTTTCCAATGCACGCATTGAAGAACATAAGAACTCAATCAAAAAAGAAGAAACGACCTCTTCCCTGGTCCAACACCTCAAAGC